CTCAGGGATGAATCTGCACTTGCAGGCGCTGGGATCCGGGCCCTGGGGAAGCGGGTGTTCTCTTTGGCTTTCTGCGTGCTTGCCCTTTCCATCTACTGTTGTGCTACTTGTTAAATGACCCGCAGCTTTTAAAAGGTTGCTCATATAAAAAAACTCTTCCAGAGAATTTCACTTGCTTATTCCCTTTTGCTGCTAATTTCTCTCATTTTCTCCTCCTGTTTTAGCTAGGTTGTCTTCTTTCTGCTGCTGTTCACTCATCTCCCCTAGTTCAGCTAATTTCCTATTGTATGTACATGACTTGTGAATTTATAGAACTCCTTCTCATAACTGTTCATATTTTCAGTCTGTAAAGCCTTTTTTCCAAGACTCAATGAGTGACAGAAAAAAAAAAAAAGAAGAAAGAAAATTAAGAGTTAAGTTTAAGCAGAAGGCGAGGTATTTGGGTTCTTTATTGTTCTTGAGAGGAAATTATTAAAAAATCATACTCTTTTAAAATTATGATTAAGAGCTCTAACACTTTCAAACAAATGTTAACAGATGATTTAAAAATTGGTACATTCCTGTTTCAGAAACCTTCAGAAGGAAAGAAAATAAGGGAGAGAAAAGAAAGAAGCCAGCAAAGAGAGAGGAAGAGAATGTTAAAAGGAAAAAGGCAAAAGTAAAGGGTGAGAGAGAACTTTTGGAGTCACAGAATGTACTATGCCCTCTCCTTAAGGCTCGGGGCCTTTGCACATGCAATTTCTCCTGCCTAGAAACCTAACCTCACCCATCTCCTAGATTCTTGTCCAGGGATCTTATTTTGGTCACTCCTATTCAGCCTTCAGTGTCTGGGCAGACTTTTGCTCTCTGTGCCCCTGGAGTCCTGCCCTTTCGTTGCACACTTATCAGCCTCGATGGCGACTGTCTACTTACTTGCTTGCACCCCTACTGTAAGGCCCACAGGGGCAAGTATTCTGTCTCCTTTGATTATCACTGCATTTCTGGCACCCAACCCAGTGCTCAGCAATATTTGGTAGGAAACGAATGAATTGGAGACTGACAGAGAGGTAGAAGATAAAGTAGGGAAACAGAGCAGAAAAAGACTCAGACTCAGAGGAGCATTACGCTAAACAAATAATTTTATTCACTGTGATTTGAACAGTGGTAGCTTACATCATTACTGTAAAACTCCTTTATATGCATGAAAAGAATAAAACTTTAGATGTGAAATTCACAAAGGAAGTCCCAGTAAAAGATCTGAGATCCCCCCCTTTAAGATAAACTCCAGAAAAATTTCCCTTTAGCATTATCTGTCAGCATAACATTTGCTTACCTTTGCTATTCGACTAGCTGTTTCTTTGCAAAACTGAGTTGGGCTGTCAAAATGCTGGATTAAGTGAGGCAATAAGCAAAGGATGTTAAGAGGAAAGCCTATCAAAAAAAAAAAAGCAAACAATAACCAATTTTATTGCACATTATTTAAAAACTAAAGGTATTTTTTTAATGGTTCACAGAAACCATTTTCTTTTTATTTCTTGGAGCACCTGATCTTCTACATTCTTTTTTTTTGCCTTTACCAAGGAAATTAAGCTATCTCATATATTCAACAAACAAACAAACAAGTCAACCCGTGACTTTGTGGAAGAGCAGAAATTAGTAGACTTCAAAACAAATTAGTTTACATTTCACTACATTAAAAAGCAGAGAGTTGGTGCAATTCTATTAACATCACCTGACAACTGGGAAGGATCCACCAGCGTGTGTTTGGAGACAGCAATGAGTTTACTGAGGAGGTGCACGGTCATTTCTTGCGTAGAGACTGAGGTAAAACCCTTAAGGAAGAGCTGCTGAAGGCCTGGAAAGTTATTCCATTTCAATTTGCTTTGTACATTTTCAATCTTCTCTCGACTCTCCGATTTATCCAGAGGCAAATGGATAAGCAGTTTGTTGAGAAGCCTAAGAGCCAGGAGGTATTCATATTCATAATCTGATTCTAATAAAGATGCTGCTATCCAAAAAATGGTGGCCATCAAGTTGGCAGGCTCAGTAGTGGACTGCACATCATACATTCCCTTCTCCCTCAGAGAGGAAAGGCTTCTAGTCCTTGCTAAACTATTGCTATGGTTTATCCGTCCATCCATTATATCCAGTGTGTTACTCCGCCGCCGGTCACCTCTTCGGTCACCAATTAAACTTAATCTCAGAGAGTTACTTCTTGCATTACTGTTATATCCCAAGTAACTGCTACTATTAATGGGACTTGTGCTTAGATTGAGTTGTCCAGTGCTTTTCCTGTTAGCTGCATACTTGTTTCCCATTATAGGATCATGGTATGAGGTTCTTTACAAAAAAAAAAAATAAGAAAGAAAAAAAGATAAATGCATGTACAATCACTTCTTTTGCTACATTAATTTTACTCTCGAAAACACTGAAAAAACACTGTTACCAGGAAAAATTACGTTTGAGTATATCTGACTTTGCTTACTTCAATTTCAGTTCTCTCCTCCATATTAAAGCAAAATGTACAACGGTGTCTTTCCTACTGTGGCCAACCGTTTCCTGTGAGCTGGAGGATGTGTGATTTGAAGTGAAAATTCTGCCGCAGTTATCACTGACAACTTTCCGCTCTAGGATTTAGTAAACGTTATGTCCAAAGCAGAACTCATCTGTCTTCTCCCCAGACTTGATGGTCCCCATGTCCTTATTTTTGTCAATGCACACTCTTTCCCCCCCCCAAAAAATCAAGCTCAAAAATTTATTTTTGACTTCTCCTTCTCCCTCACATCTGATTATCACTGATTTAAAAATAATGACAGAATGCTGCCTACAGGTGCCAGCAGTATGCAAAGTACTAGCAATACTGAAGTCTGTTGGGAGAGACAGAGATGCAAAAATTCATAGTTTGTTAATTACTGTTATTAAACTCTAAAGAAAAGCCCCGTGAGAACCCCCAAAATGGAGTAATTCACACCACCCTCAGGGAGTTAGAAATGCTTAGCTAGGTGGTGATATCTGAGATGGGTCTTGAAGGACAAGCCAATTCGGGATTTTGCAAGGAAGAGAAAGTGGGAGAGGAACAATTTGCAGCAGATGTGAGCGGGGAGGGGGCTGGCCGGCTGCGGGGCAATGGGACGGTGGGTGTGGCAGGAATGGAGCTGGTCAGTGGTGCTGGCGCCCCGTCGTGCAGCAGACAGACCCCTGACCAGGACCTCAGAAGAACGACACACCACTAACAGCTCTGTAGGACTTTCCACACGCTCCCTGCCCTCCTGTCCCCAGTGGTAATCCATCTGAGTTGTTTGGTATTATTCTCACTACCAATACGAGAATAATATAATGTCATAGTCATGCATATTTAGCTACTGGAGTTCTATCTACAAATCTACAGTTTGTCTGGCTTAAATTCTTACTGAGAAAGGGCAGAAAGAAGATCATAATGCTTCATGGTTTCAGCCAAAGTATCAATTGCAGATTCCAATGTGAGAAGAAGCTCAATCACAAATCCCTAGGTTAAAAAAAAAAAAAAAAAAAAAAAAAAAGGCAGATTTTCATTAATTATGCTCTGGAAAAAAAAGAAATCGCAACGGACTTCCCGATGAGATTTAAAAATAGAACAAACTCAACATTAATATTACAAAATGATTAAACTCTTGAGCAACATGATCTTGCTGATTGATGAAAACTCATCAAACTAATGGTTATAATGGCACAATTCACCCAAAATTGCTCAGGCCAAAAATCGAAGTCATTTTTGTTTCTTTCTCTCACATCTAAATTAAACCTATCAGCAAGTCTTGAAAATATTACTTTTAAAATATATCTGAAATCTGATCCCCTCTCTATACCTCCACAGCTTCCCTTAATCTAAACTACCTCCATTTCAGCGTGGACTTTTACAATAAGCCCCTTAGCTGACTCTTACTGACCTCCTAAGGACTCTACCTAGCCTCTGGAGTTTTCAAAATAGCAAATTATATCCATTACCTTTCCTCTCAATGAAGTATTGTTTGCCATCAACTCAAAGTAAAACCCCACCTTGCACTAGGGTCTACCAGACCTCACATAATCTGGACCTGCCTATGTCAACCTCCTGACGTTAGACAACCCCATCCAATACACTAGCCATACTGGTTTGCTTCATGTTCCTCAAAGAAAGGTCAACTGCTTCTGCCTCAGGGCCTTTGCACTTGTTAGTCCTATTTATCTGTCTGACATGTTCTTCTGGATTATCACAGGCCTCAATTCATTCACATATGTGTTTAAATCTCACCTTCTCTGATGATCATATATAAAAGCAACTCCCTCTCCCCTGCAACTCTTTAACCTGTTACTCTACCTTATTATTTTCACACTATTAAACACTAAATAAAATGATGTTACATATTATTGGTGGATTAGAGGCTTATTTCTCCAATAGAATGTGAGCTCCAGAATGCCAGGAACTTTCTCTTGTTCCCTACTATATTCACAGTGTCTAGAACAGTGTTAATAAAATCACTAGTCTGTATAGACATAAGTTCTCAATTGCATTATTTCACTTAATTTATCTTAAAAATTTAGCACTCTCCATTTAAATTTAACTTCCTATCTCTTTTACCTTGTGGTCATCCCAAAAGAACATCCAAGTGTGTGTGCATGCATGCGTGTGTGTATAAATGTAAAGCTTTCTCAAATAGGCACTAAATATCTGATTCAGTTAGTATGTTATCAAATATTATTTACAAAACTGTTTCATAATTCTTTACCTGCTTGTTAGCATCTGACAGGAATTCTGTGTAACCATTAGACCTGCTGTGCCCTGTACTTGACAAATGAGTTCTTGACAATGAGTAACTACTCAATGGCTACTGAAAGAATTTAATGCAATACCTGTGCATCTTCCCCTGGGTCCCCTACAGTTTCTACAAGTCTGGACAGAACATCAGAAAGTGTAGTTGCAGAAAGAGGCTGCTTTAGGGCCCTGAAAATCTGGAAGGATCTCCCAGCATAGTGTCGAGAAGAACAAGAAAGTGCTGTTTGCAGAGCAACTTCACTAAGATGATGTTCCAAATGTATTCCTTCTGTGAAGACAAAGGATGGATACAAGTGAGTGCTTCTCTGTTGCTTGGAATGCAGGGTTATCATCAGAGGTTAACCATTTTAAACCCAGTGCCCAGCACACTGCCTGGGAAACCAGGCAGGCACTCAGATTTTAGAGGTCAATGCTTTTTCTTTTCATTAAACTCCATGTGCATTTTAGAGGACTCTTCAGTCTAAGCTCCAGGGAAGTATTCTTTGAGAACAGGGTTTCTCAACCTCAGCGCTGTTGCCATTTTGGCCAGACAAGTCTTGGTTGTGAAGGCTGTCCTCTGCAGCATACTTGCTTAGCAGCAGCTTGGCCTCTGCCCAACTGGATACCAAGAGTAACCAGTTGTCCCCTGCCCCCCAGTAGTGACAAAAATGTCTCCGGGCATTGCCAGATGTCCTGAGGGACAAAATCACCCCTGGTTGGGAACCAGTGCTTTAAACAGATACATTTTTACTATAATTTTCAGTATGTGTTAATTTTAGATCACAGAAGTCTGTTACAGTATAAATCAGAATTTAAGTTTGTCATCTCCACCTGTGTTCCTTTAATGTTCTTGTTTCCTAATACATAACCACACTGTAACTTTATGCCATCGTATATGAAAAGAAGAACCCCAGAACGTCACAAGTCACTTTTGTATTTTTTAAGGAGTAACTAAATTTTTCTTGAACCAACTCTGTTATCACAAATGAGTTAAAAAAGAAAACCTGTCTAGGAGCATCTGGGTGGCTCAGTCAGTTAAGCGTCTGCCTTCTGCTTAGGTCATGATCCCAGAATCCTGGGATCCAGCCTCGATCCAGCTACACTCCTTCCTCTGCCCCTCCCCCTGCTCATGCTCTTTCTCTCTCAAATAAATAAAATCTTAAGAAAAAAAAAGAAAAACCTGTCTAAAACTTTTTAATGTAGACGTGTCAATTGTCAACTCTTTGCTAAGCTGAATCAGGAATTTTCACATCACATTAAAATATCTCATTGAAAGTAAGTATTATCTGAAATATTTAATAAAAGATACCTGAGTTTGACTGCTTAAAAACAGAAACCACATGTTTCAAAAATGTAGTTAACTGCTCAGCACTCTTTATGCTAGGATTCTTGGCAGAAACATCCTCATGGTTCCAAAGGGGCCCTCTTTTTCTGAAAACAGAGAACAGACATAATCCCTTGGTTTTAAACTGACATTAACAGTTTTACTCAGTCACCTAAAATGTGCCTTTGCCACTAGAAAGGACAGTAGCGGAATAAATCAAATAGCACGCACACAGTCTACTGCTATTTATGTACTCAAATGTGCAATGGTCTATGTCAAGTAGAGGAAGATCCAGGTTCCATGTAATTTCAGCCTTCCATCATTACAGTTAAATTCTCTCAGAGATGGTAGATAAAGATGACAAATGCTGCCAAGTGAGAAGAATACTGATTTCTGCTTCTGTGTTATAGGTCACAACATAATTTGGAGAGGCTAGACTGTATTTAGATTGTAATGCAAAGAAAATAATTTACTAGCTAAAAATACAGGGAATGTTTAAGACAAAATGGTTTCCTCTTCACACCAGGGTCTACCAGACCTCACATAATCTGGACCTGCCCACGTCAACCTCCTGACATTAGACATCCCCATCCAATACACTAGCCATACTGGTTTGCTTCATGTTCCTCAAAGAAAAGCCTCTTACTTCTGCCTCAGGGCCTTTGCACTTGTTAGTCCTATTTCTCTGTCTGACATGTTCTTCCGGATTATCACAGGCCTTTAAAATATCTTTGCATTCTCAAGGCTGCCAGCTTGGTTAGTTAAGGGTTAAATTCCTTATTACCTCAGGCCTGAAGTGCCCTGAAAATCTTTTCTGTGCTCACACAGCCACCAGTTTGCAACACCTTTAATTCGTCCTGTTCATTGCCACGAGACTGATTGTTCTCAACATACTTAATCGTGTCTCCCACCCTTCCCATCCAGCTCAAGGAATTTCAATAATTTCTGTTTTCTGGAAAGATGAAAGATCTGTAGCCTGTGGCCTAGGCTTCATGGCCCTCCAGTCTGAATTCTCCTTTGCCTACAAAGTTTTCTCGTCTAGAAACATTTCCCTCAGCATTACAGTCAGACTGGATTACTCACCATTTCCAAACACATTTTATTTCTCACGCCCCTGATGATTCTGCTTTTGCTGTGGAACACCAACCCCCCTGTCCCCATCTATGTTTCTTCCTTCCTTATGGTGCCTTGCAAAGAGTAGGCCATAAATAAAAATTTGATGACTGACTGATAATGGAGCTAACGAAAGTGGAATATGTATTCAGATAATACTGTATTCTCTTTGGCCACTTGGTATCCAGACACGATTAAGGCCCTCCTCAGGGATAACTGTGTGAGCACAAAAGAAGAAAGTCTTTGGAGGCATCAAATTATCTAACTATCACACAATACACACCTGTGTATTCCAAATCAATGGAACGCCAGCAACGCAAAACAGGGTTCACCGTAGCTGACAAATGAAAGAACGACTTAACGCAGCTATGAGGCTGGAATGGTGAGAGCTGAACCGTTACCTTGAGGTAATGAATTCCATGAGGGTTTTGACTTTTCCATCCTGCTCTACTGAGATGTCGACCTCATTGAGGATAGTGGTGTGCAGATGGGAAATGGCAGCGCTGTTATTTCCTAAGCTGATACTAGAAGAGGTAGAACTTGAGCTAAGCCCTGAGTCAGTCATGGGGGAGGGCTGGTAATCAGGTATAAAATCACTAACGCCCGCTGAAAGAGAAAGATGGCCGTGAATACCAGACAGGAAAGGATCTTACACACTCTTTACACTTAAACTCTCCTTCCTTACAGGTTATACGGGACACATGCGGGAATCTTAGCGCCAGCTGATGCAAATCAGGGCTCCTTCCGTGGGAGCCTCGTCAGCACCAAATTCCAGCAAGCGAGTTTGGGGGCCAACATTGTTTTCCACAGCCTACTATTAAAACTTAACTATTTGGATTTCCTGTGAGGTCTCTGCTGCCATCTGCTGAGGAAAGTTGAAAGTGGCACTTTCCTAATATTTTGGCACGTTGCCTCAACATGTGTTGAGTCCAGTGTTTCCACAATGTGAACTGATTTTTCTTACGGAAAGGATTCTATACTTTCCGCTTCATTTTACTTGAAGAAAGGTAATTTTCAAGTCTTTGTAATATTTATGTCACTTATTAAATTCTTTTACAGGTTGTTACTAATGCCAATCTTCACAAAATGGCAAAAGGAGTCATAAAAACAATAAAAACAAACTATGGAATTTTAAATAAAGATGCTTTAACATAAAAGAGGCATAAACTTTATTCTATTAATCTTTTAATCACATTTTAAAAGGTGAAATATTTCCTAATAATTGTTTTCTTACTAACTACACGGTTTTAAGTAAATAACTACACGCTTTTAAGTAAATAACGGGTTTTAACTAAGTAACTTTCACCCTGTATCTGACGTTATATGACTAGTAAAAAATGTAATTTTATTTCATTTTTTAAGAACAATTATTTTCTAGATCATCTATTAGTAACTTGATGATACAAACAAATGAAATAAGTAAGTCAGGGCTATTAGGAAAGAAGAAAATATAACTTGCAAAGTAAAAAAATTCACACCAACAGTGAAATAACTTTTATATTAGAGTCAATAATTTGGACCTCATTACTTCAAAATGTATGATTTGGAACTTACTAGACTTAAAAATGTGTAACATTTTAAATATAGTAAGTATAGGGGCACCTGGCTGGCTCAGTCAGTTAAGTGTCTGACTCTTGGTTTTGGCTTAAGTCATGATATCTCAGGGTCGTGAGATCGAGACCTGCATTGGGCTCCACACTCAGCAGGGAGTCACCTTTCCCTCTGCCTCTGCCTCTGCCCCCGCTCACATGTGTGCTCTCTCTCTCTCAAATAAATCTTTTAAAAATAAATACATACAGTAAATATAATCAAGTGAACAAAAAACTTTAAATGTCTTCCTTTGTCCATTTTTCAGATCTTGAGAGCACGAGGAATCTAACACAAGTTCAACATCTTTTCCATAACTGTGCTGAATCAGCTAAGCACTTTTTCACTGATCTTCAACTTACATGTTGAGAACTTAACATTTTTAAGACAAAGACCTTTAAAGGCAATACAGACTCAAATACTCCAAGCTTAATTCTTTTCCTAGTTAATAAATAATGTATATGGTACTTAAACTAATAAAACTACATTTAAAAAAAAAGTATTTCAACTTTTATTTAGTTGACTTTCTCCATTGCAGATTTCAACTTAATGAAGCACGATTCCACTGTCAATCAAACTGGGCATTTGGAGCAAATACCTGTGAACGTGTAATCTAAGTGTGCAATCTGTTTGACTGTAAGCACCCTGGGCTCATTAAACTCCTTGTTCCTGAGGAGGACAGAAGCAACAGTGCGGATGTTACTGTTGGATCCCATTACTATTAACAAGTGCAGAAGCAGGCGTTTACAATGCTCATACACCTCAGGGTGGCAGTGGTCAAACCCTAGAAAGGACAGTAGAAAATCATCATCAGTAGAGAGAAATAATGAGTACTCTTGCTTCCAAACACATATTTTAAAGAAAAGCAGACATTACAGAAAATATTTTGTAGAAGATGATGTACTACACGAAAATATTTATTGGCCTGGAATTCTTATGCCCTTTTACAGTAATAGCCTGTTGTCTCAGAGCAGCAGGAAGAACCAAGACAAGTTTTCAATGTGTTTTCTGTCTAAAATTTAGCCATCTGTCAGAAAGTATTACTCTGGGGGCGCCTGGGTGGCTCAGTTGGTTCAATGTCTGACTCTTAATTTCGGCTCAGGTCACGGTCTCAGTGTTGTGAGACCGAGTCCCACATCAGGCTCTGCACCAGGCATGGAGCCTACTTGGGATTCTCTCTCCCTCTCCCTCTGCCCCTCTCAACCCTGCTTCTCTCCCTCTCTTAAAAAGAAAAAAAAAAAACATTATTACTCTGTTGCATAACACTTTATGTAAATAAATTTCATAAAGGCAAGCATTTTTTGTGTGTAGCGTGTAATGCAAAGTCAGTAGATGTTTGATTACCGAAGAAATGAAGTAATACATATATAATGAGTGTGCACATCAGGAAAACTTCGGAGAAGATGGCTACCTTGACTTGCTTCAGGAAGTCAACTCTATGAGCGTGAAAAGTACCGCTGATGTGATGGAGCCCGTGTGTCTGTTACCGAGGGCCCAGGGGAGTTTCAGCTGTAATAATCAGACTGTCCAAAATCCCATTCTTTTGGGAAACACTTAGAACCCATTTTAATTTTCCATTTACACTGAACGTTTCCAGTTCCAGAGGTAAATTAACTTTACTCTTGCTACAGCTACCGAATTTTTCCTGCTAGAGGGTTAAGTATGTTTGTGAGCAGTGGAGGGGCCGCAGGACAGGAATGGGAATGAGGACAGAGGATCTATTTGTGGTTAAGAGAGAGGTGAGGACTAACTCCCTACTGGACCATGAGGAGCACTGTAAGAAGTGTCATGGAATGATATACAAAAAAAAAAAACGAAAGCAGAAACACTGAAAAACTAGACTGTCTTGAAGTTATCACCAAAATATGATGGGACATTGAGTTAGAACAATATTTATTACCTATAAAAATTGCATGAAGAAGAAGATGGAGGTAGCTTCCCCATTCCACCTTCACACTGTGATCAATGATCAGGTCAGTCAAAAGGATCACGGCTATGTTACACCTGTGACAAATGAGAATGCTATTAATGTCCTATCAGAGTAAGCCTGGAGAAAATCCTATGCCAGTTACTTGAAGACTTGAACAAAGTATTTTATGGAAAAATACAACTTCTCAAGAAAAAAAGAAGAAAAGAAATATAGCTGAAGAAACCATTAAGTGATAGTTTTAGAAAAAAACATTACCTGCTAAGGGCTCCCCCAAGTCAAGGGCCGTAATTTCTTCATCTTCGACCCTGACACCTAGCACGCACACTGCTCGCCCCACAGGAGGTGTTCAGTACGTGTTTGATACGTTAATGAATTTTGAAAGAATGTGGTAACTGTTCTATTGTGACTTTGCCAAGTAGAATTCAGTTTAACACAATTCAAAATAATAGTGCCTAGTGCCATAAAATATTTTTCAGATGTAGTAACTGGGTCCCAGAAAGGTCAAGTAACTATGCCAGACACCCAGAAAAGCAGCAGCAGAAGTAGACTTAATAATACTAATTGTAAACAGAATTCTGAGTTTGTAGATTTCTTAAACTCTAAACACATGGATCTCATTTGTTGCAGTCTCAAACGAAAGAAAAGGCTTTTTATTCCATGTTGTCAGATAGCATAAAGAAAGCTGAAGGTGTTAAGCAGCAATGTGGCTCATATGAAATAGGAATGATGCTGTAGTCCACCTGTGAAGAGGTAATCCAGGGGATGACGTTTCAGGCAAGTAATCCACCAGTGGTGACCAGCAGCCTCCAGCTGGTGGGAAGGGTAGTGGCTCTCCTTGATTATGCTCCATCACTTTCAGTCGCCAATTAGAATAAAGTGGCATTGAATCACCTATCAAAATAAAATGATCTCATTTTCTACACCATCTATTTTCTGCCAACATAAGCAAACTCTAGTAAGACACCAACTATTTATAGCATTGGAAAGTGATAAAAAATAACTTCCCACTCTTTTGACATAGGTCTGCTAGGAAGACCTGGGTACAAATATTATCAAGTCAAGCAAATCAGAGAGAGAAAGAGCTATCAATTCAGGTTCCATCATCTATATCAAAGCAAAACTACACTTGCACTCTGTTAAGATTCCAGAATTGATGTCCAAGCCATGAAACCACATCATAGGTGAAGCTGCCTTGTAACAAGGGCCTTCTGGTAAGTTACTCAATTCTAAATTTCCTGAGATAGGGTCAACACAAACCCATCTTAAAAGGAAATCTGCTCTACCGCAGTGGGGCTGCAGGGTGTAATAAAAAATGACATCAGGAAATGTGAATTCTGTGTGACATGGGTAAGTCACTTAACCTCTCTGGACCTCAGTTCCATCATGTGCAAAGTGAGGAGATCGGACCAGATTATCTCCAGGGTCCCTTCCCAGTCTGAAGGCTGGTGCTATTCCACTCTCCCCCAGTGTTAGAGTGAGACTCGGATAGACATTCACTTTGCAATTGCAAGGGAGAACTTTTCAGTAAAATGTGAATCCACAGAAAAAGAGCAAACCTGTTAAAAAAAAAGCAGGCTGTAGCCAGTGTCTACGATGATTCTCGAGAACCAATTCTTATGTTCCTTTTGATTTATCTGTAAGGGAACCTATGCTTTGAAAACAAATTTCCCCCATTCATGCCGCTTCTTAAAATCAGGACATTTCAGATTATGTTGGAACACCACCACTGGCAGTTAAATACTCTTCTTAAAAACAATTTATCAGAAAAATATATTCACTGACATCAATATAATAATTAATAATACGCCTTGCCATTGTAGTTATAAAAAACATGTGGAATTTATTACTTTTTTCTTCTTCATAAGATCCTCCAGAGCTGCTACTGTATCGAGATTCTAGTCTGTGATGTTGACGATTTAAGTGACTGCTTAGTCCACTGTAGATGTCTAGGTGCACATAGCTACGGGAATGATCGTGGCAGTTAGTCACAGTTCATGGTAAAATGGTATTTGTACTTTCGGTTTCACTTTCTACGTTTAAAAAAGAACACAGTACATAAAATATTAACAAAAGCTTCCTATGATATATCTTAATTTCCACCTTACAGTTCAAAAGCTTAAGCTTTTAAGTCAATTATTTCTACCTGAAGACTCTTCCTATATTGTGGTAACAATGCTCTGGTGAAACCTAGCTTATAAAAAACAGGCAGAGTAAATAGCCATTTAGAAAAGTCTAAAAATGTAAACGACACAAAAAGAGACTGGACATAATCTATTCATCCATTAGAGCACATAAAGGGATCTAGCATGTCAGCATTCTGATGATAAAACAGTTAATGTGGCAAATTTCCAAAACGGAAATATATTTCTTCACATTCAATGAAATATATGCTGCAATGCAGAAATGACCATTTATTCTGATAATACTATCTGTCAAACTGAAAGGTTAATGAAGAACAGAGAGGTACTTACCTCTCTTCAATATTCTCTTTAATGGGCTTATTATCAGGATTGCCATCTATGGGAGCTACCATTGTATTGCTACTGGAAGTAGTTCCTGCAATCAGAAATAAAATAGTATCTGTGAACTTAAAGCCTGGGATAACTCAGTTAAGAACAAAGATTTCAAAATTACAGATGTTAAAACTCTACTACAATGAGAGCAAGGCGATTTTTAAAAAGGAATGTACTCCTAATGACCAAGAGGGAAAGGAGACAGCAGCAACTAAATTCTAGATGCTGGAAAACAAATGGACAAGAAGTAATTCAGCTTTGAGAAGGCTGAATCTTAAAGCTGGTAGTGGGGGAAACCAAGAAGCTTCTATATCTATACTGCTGAACCTCCAAGACTCAGGAATTAGCAGCACTGAGTACCTCTGGGAGTAGGGGTTGAAAGTGTTGCTAAAATGGCAGGCTTGATTGAAAATCTATTTCAGAGGTAGTTGGTCCCCACGATCTATGCCCCTCCCTCTTGTAACTGGGTAGCTGTTTCTCTCGACTTCCAGAAATCTTTTCTTTTTTCAAGTTTACTCATTTAAGTAATTTCTATACCCAACATGGGCCTCAAACTCATGACACCGAGATCAAGAGTTATATATTCTTCCAACTGAGCCAGCAAGGCACCCCCAGGAATCTTTTCTGATAAGAGTAAATCAAAGATTTCTGGGCGAGGGCACATTATATACAGCTGAAGGAGGAAGGACTTTATTGAGAATAGGGAGATGGAGGGAAAATACCAACAAAATTTGAGATTATATCCCCTTGAAAGGTTCTCACCCCATGGGGCTACCAGAAGGCTTGAAGACGATGTTGTGTGTGTGTCTATCTGTGGATTCTTTGTATTTGTACATACAGCCCTACAACCTCTACTTTGGGTAGATGACTAGTAGAGTTTTGTCTGGGGAATCTGTTAGTCCAAGAGAAGAGACCTACAGACACTTTCATCAATGAAATCATCGTACAACACATGACAAAGTCAACAAGCTCCATTTATATCTACAAAACATCCAATCAACTTTTCAATATTCCACTCTTTATCAAAAAACAGATCTAGAATTGGTAGGC